TATTTTAAAAGTACCGTTTTTTAAATTATACAAAACCTTTCATGATGGAGCACATTTTAATATTGCTGATTTAAAGTCAATAATTTTGAATAACATGGAACAGCAAGACAGCGGAGAATTTTTGCGTCAGCTATTAGAAGTTCCTTCCTTAACAGGAATAAAACCAATATTTTATTGCATAAACATGTGGTAAATTCAAAATGCTGTAACTGCAACCATAGACCCCCTAGTCAGACAACAGAGAATGCCAAGAGTTGGAGCGTATGAAAGGTTGAAAACATAGCCCCAATAAAAGAATTCCAGAGCTGGCCAAAAGCGACAAGTGCCTGGGAAAGGATACACATAGATTTCTTATAATTAGTTCCCCTTACTCAGAATTGCTCTATGGTCGCCCGGAGCGTTTTTCAACTTGCACCTGGTTTCAACGAAGCACCAGTAGCATCCCAGCAACTAGTTCTTCAAGCGCCACAGCCACGTCGCTCAGGTATCCCAATCCGAAGTACTTCCAGTACCCGATAAGGAATCCTCCGGGAGTCAACGGGAATTCCACAACAATTCCCTCGGAGTTCACCTTACAAAACGAAACGAAATTTGTATGAATCATACGACTGTGGCCCAAAATTCAAACTCCGGAAGGATTCCAAAAGGAATTCCTAGGAAACTTTGAAATGAAATCCGTGAGATTTTCCCCTTGTATTCCCCACGAAATCCCTCGGGGATTTCGTACACAAGTTGAAGGCAATTCCCAAAGAATTCGGCAGGAATGCTCCAGGAATTCTTCCGGAAATCTCTAGGAATTCTCTCCGTAAATCCCCTGGAACTCTCTCGGTAATCATTAAGTATTCCCTAGAAACTCCTGGGGAACTCCTTAAAAAAATTGGGACGAATCGTACCGGAAATCCTAGTCAAAAACCTCACAAGTTCCTGGGGAATTCCTCGGCTTAACAAAGATTTCATCATTATGCAGCTAATGCGATTTTGCAGCGCTGAGACACTGCAGTTCTAGCGTGAAAATGAATTTATTTATTTTAAATTAGAAATAATTAACTGCACTTACCTGAATTATTAAAAATCACATCATTTTGGTTTTCACTTTTTAAAATAATTACCTACTTAAGCTGCAGCCGAATTCAAATGCAAAGGAAATGGGGAGAAGGGAGACGAAACCGAAAATTCTGCCTGGCACAGGCCAGGTTATATCCGATCATAACAATTCCTTGTAATTAAAACCAGCAGATATTCATACATGAACGTTTTGGCGTTGCCTTTAGCAAGTTTACAATAACTTACAAAATGTTATTACTTTAATAGCCTGATTCCATTGCCGCATTAAAACGCATTTAGCCAAATGCGCATTTATTTACACAGGGAATCACATAAGGCTAAATGCCGCATTTAAATAAATGCGATTTTTAAATGCGACTAAAAACCATTCGCCCCGAACGTTTTTAGAAAAAATACCGGAATATACCGATGTTTAACGATATTTTGTTCGTGCCACCACTACAACAGCTGTTTTCTATAAGCAAGGTTGGCGCAATTTTTGATGTCTTTTGAATATAAAATCTATTTTGTATAAAAATGACTAAAACCTAGAGCACACGCTGCAAATTCTGCTCGCAGTACCACAATGCATTACTGATGGATCTCTGGCATAAAATAACTCTCACATACACGGGGATCCTTGCCCTTTTTAGAAACTAAATGCTAATGCGCCAATGGAGTCAGGCACATTTAAAAAGTCCACTCAGGCTATAATTCAATAAAAATCATTTAAATACAATCTTAAAATTTGATAAATATTCCAGCGTTTTTTAAAAAGGGTATTCATAAGTCTATACAGTATTTTTTGTTCTTGACACTGATTTTTTTCTGCGTTTTCTCTCCCTCCAACCCTCTCTCTCATTTTCGGCCGCTGCTCCGAATTACTTCGAAATAAACAACAACAAAGAAGTTCGAGCTTTGGCAGTGGCAGAAGTGCCGACAGAATTTTATTAGCCCGGCTTTGTTTTGAACTGCGCTAGATGAAGCCCATGCGATTTGTTTTTGTTTTACGAAGGGAACTACAGGGTATATTGTATGTATTCCTACGGGCACAGGATTTTCTTCTGTTAAACCAACATCTTCTTTGAAATCTACATCTTCTGTGAAACCTAAAGTTTCCTGCTCAACCGTGTTTAGATTCTGTCTTTTACCATTTGATACCAGCAAGCCTTACCGAACCGCCAAAATGGTAAGGTTTTAAAATGTTGGGTTTTCGTACTTAAACGCCTGCACAGTAGCAACATAGGTCAAGGCAGGACAAATTATACCTGTAATATTGTTAAGCGTTGGTGCACTATAAACAGTACAAAGAAGTGGCCCAACTAAACCAAGCACGAGCTTGTTACGCGCGGGCCCTATTAGCACAGTGGGCAGTTATCAAGTTTGCGAAGAAAACACAGATAACATAGTATAGAGACATTTATTTATTTATTTATTCGCCAATGGATTAATCCTTATCCTTATCTGGCTTATCAGCTAACTTAACTCTAAAACTAAATATTAATTAAAAAATATATTTTTTTTGGCAAATGTATAAGGACGTCTCTCGAGGATCCCCAACCCAATCGAATACTCGCTGGAAAGGAGTTAAACAGTCTCAACGCTCTTAAAATTGGCTCATTTCGCGCATAATTGGTCCTCGCAGCACTTTCCTTAAATGGGACGACGGCACAGAGAATCCTGGCTGGGACATTAAATTTATTAGAGTTTAATAGGAAGGGACTATCAATGTTACCAATTATTAAATCATTGAAAAAAGCAGGCTCGCTATCGAACGCCTATCTACAAGACTGCAGGTATGCAGTAGGCAACATTGGCTAGAGTAAACTGGAAAAGGTTTCGAAAACTGTAACGGCTGAAGTGCAAATTTTAAGTATTTTTTCTGCAGCCTATCAATTCTATCAATATGAACAACGCCTAAAGGGTTCCAAGTGTTTATTTTAACAAATCCGAACATTGCATATGCCTTCGGCAGAATATGGTTAATATGATTAATAAACAAAAATTTAACTTATGTTAAAAGAATATTTAAAATACATTTACTTTAGCGAACAATATAACATTTATTGTAGCAAAAAATAGTCATTTCTGGAATTCACTGACATGTACATTTTAAGCTCATATTTACTACAACTTTACCCAACCCAAGGATTAAGACAGGCACACGTTATTATCGGAGCAATCAGAAAATTGGTTGTCGATACAGAAGCAGAAACCGTCGCACAATCTGAAACTAATAACTGGGTAACAATGAAGACAGCTTTAGCCGTCGCCTTCAAAGATCACGGGCCGTATGATACAATCATCAAGAAGCTGGCTGAAATACAATTCAGAGGAAGTCTTAATAAGTTTATAAAAGAATTAGAAAAACAATACAGGAATGTGTTCAACAAAATAGAATTAGAATCTGATCCACCAGACAAAATAAATTATACAAGAATGTTGGATAGAACAGTTCATATTACCATTGATCGAAAACTTCCCGATCGCATGTATATGTCACTAGCAAGAAAAGACATAACCAATATTCAAAAATTAAAACAAGCAGCTTTGGAGTTAGGATTCTATGATGCAAACCCGAAGAAGAATACGCACAAAATAGAAATAACCATAAAAATCAGAGGAATAAGGCAAGATATCCGGTAACAATCAAAGATATTATGATAATCAAAGAAATTTAAGTTCGTACTATGATTATAATTTTAGTTAAAATTCTACTCCCAATGCAACGACTTCTCAGAATAATCAAAACCAATATCAACAACGTCCCATTCGCCCACACTTGCAAGGAAATAACCAAACATTTAGGAACGGGTTAAATCAAGCTAGACTACAAAACTAAAAAAAATCATCAAAATTCGAACGATCAGGCTAATGCAAATAGGTTTAGTGGTGCCCCAGTAAAAAGACAAAGGGAAAGTCAAAGTGGCCAAAATAGGATTACGTCCATCCTTTTCCATTTTCATCAAACTGCCTCGGAGACCGAAGACACAATCCCTATGTAAAAATTGCCTTTCATAATAAATTTTATAAAGGAATGGTATACAAATTTTGCTAAACTAAAAGAGATAAAAGAAGTTTTAAAAGTGTATACTATTAGAGGTTCAGTAAAAATACATAAAAGTATCATAGTAAAACCAAGTGTAACATGTCCGTCAGAACAAACATTTTATTTGCATAACTTTTCCGATAATTATGATACCCTGTTAGGTCGAAATTACCTAGAAGCTGCTAAGGCTAAAATTGACTAATTTAAACAAAACAATTAAGCACATACAAATTCCGATATAACGACGAAGATATGGAAGAGACCTTCTACAGAAGATCAATCGGTAAACTTCGCGATTAATAATGATTTACGCGAAAATAACGAATTTAGGCTTGAACACCCGAGTAGCGAGGAGATTGAAAGTTTAAAGAAGGTTTTATTTGAATATGGTGACATTCAGTACAGAGAAGGTGAGAATTTGACTTTTACAAGTACTCAGCATGAAGACCCAGTTTATCGTAAGCCATATAAATAATCCCAAAGCGTTGATGAAGAAGTAAATAGGCAAATCAAAGAAATGATAGAACAGGGAATAATACGTAAGTCGAAATCTCCTTACTGTTCACCTATTTGGGTCGTTCCAAAGAAGACCGACGATTCTAGCATAAAAAGGTTTAGGTTGGTTGTAGATTATAGGAATTTAAACGAAATCTCTATCAATGATAAACTTCCAATTCCTAGAATGGATGAGATCCTTTACAAATTAGGAAAATTCCAATATTTCACAACCATAGATTTAGCTAAAGGATTTCATAAAATCCAAATGGACAGCAGATCAATTGCAAAAACCGTATTTTCTACGAAACATGGCAATTACGAGTACACTCGAATGGCATTCGGTCTTAAGAATGCCCCCGCAACTGTTCAAAGATGTATGAACCACCTTTTGGAAGATTTAATCTACAAAGATTGTTTAGTTTATTTAACGATATAATAATTGTTTCCACTTCGTTGGAGGAACACAAAGTATCGAAATAAGTCCGATAAACGCGAAAAAATATCTGATATTCAAAACCGTATTAATGTAAATCCCAACGAATTTTTAATACCACCATTTAAGTATACATTTTACAAAACATTCGACATTCGACAACCTACTGGACGAAGCCAAAGAATTTCAACACATTGTCCAAATCCAATATTTAGTTTGTAGAAATAAGAACTGAGTAAGCAACTACTACTAAACATGGTCAAAGTAATTTTAAGTTATTTAGTTAAGTTATATTTTAATGTGTGTGAAGCCCTGGATATATTTTGTGTGTGTCATCCCTGGTTTGTAAAAGTATCGATGTGTTTTGAATCCCTAAAAAAAGAAGTCGCACGAAGAAGAGAGCGAGGCATTCGAAAAAGCTTGACCGGTGCGATCAAAAGAAAAAGCTGAATAAAAGGTAATTAAATTAAAGCAGAACAAAGAACACTATAATTCAGAAATGGGAACTGAACCTAACCAAGTTATATTGGAATAGGAAAATATCTGTTAACATGGCTTCACGCATAAATCTCCGCGAACTCAAATTAATGGAAATCAAAAGTTTCTGTGAAAAACTTGGCTTGTCCGCAAAGGGAAACAAAGCCGCACTAATTGCGCAGTTAAGTGCTGTACTACCGTCTGAAATTGCTCCGGAGTTGTACTACGAAAAGGTGGAGTCTACGAAAGGTGGAGGCGAAATTGGTGTTGAGATGGATGTCGCCAATGCAACCAACAACAACAACGAAGAACAAGTCGGCGAGATGGATTTCGCCAATGCAGCCAACAACAACAACGAAGAACAAGCGAGGAAGAAGAAGAAGACGTTTTCGGCAACGAACTTAAACTTGTCGAGACAGTTGATCGTGGTGGCGTTCAACTTCCAGGAACCGGCGTTCAACCGAGTACTTCAGCCTTTGGCGGTCAACGTAGTCCAGCTAGCAATATACGGGCCGAATCGGGTGGCAACGCTGCGGGAATGGAACAGGCGATGCAAAATTTACGTTTCGAAAGTGTGGACCGTCTTTCCAAGCCCGAAATGAACTGGAACACCGTGAAAGAGCTACTCCCAGAATTCAACGGCGATGGCAACATAAACGAATGGTTGCTGGTGGTAAAAAAAGTTCTTGATGTGTTCAGTGATGACGTCATGCGTCTATTAATTTGCTCACGCTGAATGGGCAAGGCTAATTTTTGGCTGTTATCTTGCCCATCACTGTTGTCTGGGAGTATCGACTTGATTCTGGCATAACTAAAAATTATTTTTGGAACCAAGGATAACGTCCTGCAAATGAGACGCAAGTTTGAAAACCGCCAGTGGAAATTCGGTGAGAAGTTTGCCAACTACTACTTTGACAAACTTACTCTGGCAGAAGACATCGCTATGAGTGTTCACGAACTAGTGCAGTACTTGATAGATGTACATACAAAATGTACAACTTAAAAACTAAGCGAAACTACTACGTTTTGCAGTGCCTGCTGATGTATTGGAAGCCTTTCAAGATGTAGAGAAACCCAGAGCTCCGGTACATCAAAATAGGATGCAAGGAAAGTCTTTATCAAATGCTGCGAACCCGGAACAGAGGGTCATCAAATGCTTTAACTGCCACAGTCTTGGCCATCTGGCGAAGGAATGCCGCAAGTCAGTACGGGTTGATGGAGCTTGCTATGCCTGTGGAGAAATTGGACACTTGGCTAGAGAGTGTTTATTGTACAAGAAGAAAGAAACTGGCAACGAATATGTAAGACATTTTAGAGTTCAATTTAAAAATACGATACATAATTCAAATAAATTTTATTCCATAGAGTGCCTCATAGATTCGGGAAGCCCCGTCTCATTTCTAAAGAAGTCAGTAGTTCCCAGTAAAGTAAGCATTGATATGAATAAGTTGAATAATACCTTCTTCGGAATAAACAAAAGTAAACTAAATGTAATTGGAAAAACAGTTTGTCTAATTAAAAGTTCAAAAACGTATTGATTGAATTACTGGTTGTAACTGATGAATCTGTAAGGTACTCTATGGTAGTAGGACGCGATTTTTTAAACCTAAGTAATTTTAAGCTCGAACAAATAGTTAACGATGTTAACCAATTATCTGTTAAGCCAGTGGGAATACATTTAGTGGAAAAATGCGAAAGTGATTTATCAAACAAAGTAGATTTCAATGTAGAGAAACATGTAGATGTAGAGACAAAAGTAAAGAGCAATCTTGGAAACAATTACAAAGTAGATTTCAATGTAGAGAAACAGGTAGATGTAGAGAAAGGAGTAGAGAAATCGAACAAGCCCGAGGTAGCGAAATGTTTAGAAATTATATCGAATATTAATGTTGAGGCCGAGAAGCTATAGATGACGAAGCTGATACCAGACCAGACAATATCGTTGCGAATGAAGAAAGTTACAATGTGATTCATTCGATAGAGGCATGCTTAATATAAATGTTATTTACGTTGGCAAAGCAACTTATACGATAGGAAAGGAGGTGAGTCAAGAAACTAGAAATAATTTTAAATGTTTGTTTAAAACTTTTTATGAAGACGCTGATCGTCCGATGGAACCTAAAATAAAGTGTACTATGAAGATCAGAATTGAAAGTAATAAACCATTTCGGTGTCACCCTCGAAGATTGTCTTACGCAGAAAAGTCCGAAGTTCAACAAATATTAGGCGAGAATTTAGCCAGTGGGTATATACGGCCAAGTGAACCTGAATATGTGTCGCTAATTGTTCTCGTAAAGAAAAGACAGGAGAACTTAAAACGTGTGTCGATTATCGTCGCCTTAATAAAGTTACTCTTAAAGATAATTACCCGATTCCGTTAATTGACGACTTGTTGGAAAGGTTAGCGAATAAAAAATTCTTTTCGAAACTTGATTTGAAAAACGGATTTCATCATGTGTTCATGGATGATAATTCTGTTAAGAATACGTCTTTTACCACCCCACTAGGGCAGTTTAAAGTTCTAAGAATGCCGTTTGGCTTGACGAATGCACCACCAACATTCTTAAGATTTATTAACAAGATATTTGCCGATATGGTACGACCGGGATAAGTTGTGATCTATATTGATGACATTATGATAGCGACGGAGAGTTTGTATGAGCATTTCGAAATTTTAAAAGAAGTTTTGAAACGTATAGTTGAAAACAAATTAAAACTTAGTTTTGATAAATGTGAATTCTTGCAATCATTCATTGATTACTTGCGATATACAGGCAAAAGAGATGGGACTAAAGCGAACGAAACGGGTTTAGAAGCAATAAGGTCTTTTCCAGTGCCCTCAAAAGTCAGCGACGTCTCAAGCTTTATAGGATTATGCTCTTATTTCAGAAGATTTATTAAAGATTTTTCTATAATTGCAAAGCCACTTTACGATTTAACCAGAAAGGACAAGAAGTTTGCTTTTAATACAGAAGAACTAGATGCGTTCACTACACTCTCCAAACTAACTGGCAAATTAATCGAAGAAAAGCAGCAGTTGTCCGCAGCGGTACAGATTGGCAGAACCTCACACAAAGTCACAATCGACACCGGAGCAACAGCGAGCTTTATAAGCGAGGAGCTGGCGGATATACTGGCTGCTTATGGAAAGATTACAAGGACGAGAAGGCAAGTTAGGTTGGCAGATGGCAGGTGCAGCGGGATAAACACGCAGCTCGAGGTGGAGATCGAATTCGGCAATAAGCGATTGCCCATGAGCCTGCTGATCCTACCAGGAGTGGAATTTCCTCACAGGAGTCGGCGCCGAAATAAGGTGTGCCGGACATACAGTGGTGATCCCAGAAAGAAGAAGGCATATCGGGTGGTTAGAGGAAAAATTGTCCGTGACAGTGGTGCAAGCCACCTCTGAGGAATGCGACGTTGAAAAATTCCTAGAGCAGGAGCTCGCGGAATTTCGAACAATGAGTGGGACTTCATAATGTCACGACAAACCAATCAAACAGAGATACTATCCGAAAAATCCAAAGGTTCAAGTGGAGGCTTTGTGTCGACTTAGACAGATCAATGTCAAATCCATCAAAGATGCTTATCCGATGACAAGGATAAATTACATATTGGACCAGTTGAGGGAGGCGAGATACATAAGCAGTCTGGAAGAAAATAGCAGGCCATTCACGGCATTCACAGTGCCAGGAAAGGGGCTTTTCCAGTGGAAAGTAATGCCATTTGGCTTACACTCCGCCTCGGCGACTTTCCAAAGAGCACTGGACCAGGTTATTGGACCGGAGATGTCACCGCACGCGTTTGCATACCAAGACGACATCATAGTGATCGGACGCACACAGAAAGAACACAGAAGGAACCTGAGAGACGTTTTCCGACGCCTTAAACAGGCAAACCTCAGGATAAATCCCGAAAAATGTAATTTCTTCAGAAGCGAACTGCTTTACCTGGGACACCGCGTTACGGACCAAGGAATCGGCACTGATCCCGAAAAAGTAGCAGCCATAGCCCAGCTGGAACCACCCACAACCATCCGGGAACTGCGCCAATACTTGGGCGTAGCATCGTGATAATGGTCATGGACTGCAGAGCACCAGTAAGCATTCGAGGAGGTGAAGACAAGGCTAGTGGCCGATCCTGTGCTGGCATGCCCAGATTTCGATAAACCATTCGTACTGCAGACGGACGCAAGCGATTATGGTATAGGGGCAGTCCTGACGCAGGAAACTGAAAACGGCGAAAAGGTCATTTCATACTCAAGCCGGATCCTGAATGGCGCCTGGCAATCGTGTGGGCAATCCGGAAGCTCAAATCTACTTGGAAGGATACCACTTCAAAGTGGTGACTGACCATATGGCGCTTAAATGGTTGAACAGCATCGAAAGTCCCTCAGGAAAATAGCGAGATGGGCCCTGGAGCTGCAGCAGTATGGTTTTGAAATATCGTACAGGAAGGGGCTGCTCAACGTGGTCGCTGATGCACTGTCAAGACAGCCTCTACCAGAAGCCTTTAGGCTAGCCAAGGAAACTCCGGAGGACACGCAGGGAACATGCAGCTGGATCAAGGATATGTGTGAGAAGATTAACACACAGCCACAGAAGTTTCCGGACTACATCATGGAGGAAGGCGCGTTATACAGGCATATCCCGCACAGAGCAGCCAGCGAAGACGTGGCAGCATGGAAGCTCTGTGTCCCACGGGGGCTGAGGGAAACAGTCCTGAAGGAGAATCACGACTCACCAGCCGCTGGACACGTGGGAAGTCGGAAAACGATTGCAAGGCTGGCGGCTCGATATTACGGGCCAGGAATGCATAGGGACGCCCGAGTACGGAAATGCGAGACATGCCTCATATACAAGCCTAACCAGATGCAGGCAGCTGGGAAAATGCTGACGCAAATACCCGAAGAACCATGGGCAGACTTTGTCGGACCATTGCCCAGGTCGAAACATGGCAACCAGATGCTGCTAGTGCTGATAGATAGGTTCTCAAAGTGGACAGAATTGGTGCCAGGGACAGAACCAGAGGAATTGGGACGAGAAGTGGCCGGAGATTATGCTAGCGGTAAACTCAAGTACGTCGGAGTCAACAGGGTACTTCCCGTGTTTCCTCACGCAGGCTCGAGAGCCTCGACTGCCCAGCGCCCTGTACGACAGGGAAACCATCGGCACAGGAAAGCAGACGGAAACGCCTGAATATAAGGCCAATAAGATGAAGGAGATCTTCGAAATTGTGCGCCGGAACATGGAGAAAGCTGCTCAGGACCAAGCCAGGCATTACAATCTACGAAGGAGGCAATGGAATTCAACAATAGGGGACACGGTCTGGGCGAAGGAGCACCATTTGTCAAAGGCAGCCGAGGGTTTCGCGGCAAAGCTAGCGCCGAGATATGACGGACGGTACACGGTAATAGACTTCGTCTCACCAGTCATTTGTAGAATCCGCCACAAGGATACACAAAAAGAACAAACCGTCCACGTCAGTGAGCTTAAGCAACAAACACAAGAACTCGGTACAGACAAGCAAGGACAACACGAGCATGCAACGACAGAAAGTACAGACTATATCGTCGGGCATAAGCCAGAGTCTATATAGACCGCAGGATAACACGAGCATGCAACGATAAAACGTACAGACTATATCGTCGGGCATAAGCCAGAGTCTATATAGACCGCAGGATAACACGAGCAGGCAACGACAAAACGTACGGACTATATCGTCGGACATAAGCCAGAGTCTATATAGAGCGCAGGAAAGGAGGCACAGTGACCCAGACAACGAGGCAAACAGATTCTGCGTCGGGCATAAAGCCAGAGTCATCCGTTAATACGCTGCGAAGAATAAAGTGATGCACAGGACAAGAAACCGAAAAGACCGCAGGCCAACTACAATCCGTAGCGTCGGCAGACTCAGTACAAATCGAGGAAGACCACGACCAGATCTTTGTTTCCCGAGGAAAGAGGGGAGACGGTACAGCTCGAGAGCTTTAACGTAACATGCCAAGCCGGAAAAACACGAAAATAACGCGCACACACATAAACGGCCACAGTTAAATTAATTAGCATGCCAAGCCGAAAAAAAGAAAAACACGAAAATGACGCGCATACCATAGCATTGTGCGAAGTCTCTGTAAACAAGGGATGGGGGCACTTCGATTCATGGCGGCCGATTGGCACTAGACGATAGTGTCGATCGGTGGGCACAAGGAGTCACACTGTGGAACATCGATAACATCAGTTGGCAACGCCACATTGGGTCACGGAACCGATAACAACTGGAGACCGATCGGTTTGGCGCAGAGTGACCATACAACGGAGAGTTACACGGGAGATTATCGATAACGCAGATAACGACTGGAGACCGATCGGCACGACGTAGAGTGACCATCCGACGGAGAAGCCAAATCACGGAGATCGAGAAAGTCATCGGGGAAAGCGTCTGGGGCGGAAATTCAAAAGTCTCCGGGGGAAACGTCTGGGCGGGAATTTAAAGTCTACGGGGAAAAGGGATAACAAATTTCACCCTGTCTTTTATTTTTCG